TCCCGGCTCTGTGCTCAGACCTCACTCCCAGCTCTGTGCTTGGGGCTGACTCCCGGCTCTGTGCTCAGGGCTGATTCCTGGCTTTGTGCTCAGGGCTCCCTCCTGCCTCTGTGCTCAGGGATGACTCCTGCCTCTGTGCTCGGGGATGACTCCTGGCTCTGTGCTCAGGGTGAACTCCCAGCTCTGTGCTCTGTGCTGACTCCTGGCTCTATGCTCAGGGTGAACTCCCGGCTCTGTGCTCAGGAATGACTCCAGGCTCTGTGCTCAAGGCTATTGGCTCTGTGCTCAGCGCTCACTCCTGGCTCTGTGCTCAGGGGTGACTCTTATCTCTATGCTCAGGGATGACTCCCAGCTCTGTGCTCGGGGATGACTCCCAGCTCTGTGCTCAGGGCTGACTCCTGGATTAGTGCTCAGAGCTGACTCCCAGCTCTGTGCTCCAGGCTGACTACCGGCTCTGTGCTCCGGGCTGACTCCTGGCTCTGTGCTTGCAGATGACTCCCAGCTCTGTGTTCACAGCTGATTCCTGGCTCTGAGCTCAGGGCTGACTCCCAGCTCAGTGCTTGGGGCTGACTCCCGGCTCTGTGCTCAGGGCTGATTCCTGGCTTTGTGCTCAGGGCTCACTCCTGCCTCTGTGCTCGGGGATGACTCCTGGCTCTGTGCTCGAAGCTCACTCCCGGCTCTGTACTCAGGGCCGAGACCCGCCCCCCTCACCATCCCCCGTCCAAGGATCTACCTGTCCTGGGGCAAGTGCCCGCCGGCCAGCTGCACCGCGGTGGGGAGGACGTCCATGAGGCTGGTGGGCGCGGACACCACGCGGCCGGCGGGCAGCACGCCCGGCCAGCGGAATATCCCGGGCACGCGGATGCCCCCTTCCCAGCCCCCCATGCCTTTGCCGCCTGCAAGACAAGAGCGAAGGGAGGATCAGAAAGTGCTCGGGGCTGACTCCTGGCTCTGTGCTCAGGGCTGAGTCCAGGCTCTGTGCTTGGGTCTGACTCCTGGGTCTGTGCTCAGGGCTCACTCCTGGCTCTGAGCTCAGGGCTGACTCCTGGCTCTGTGCTCAGGACTCACTCCTGGCTCTGAGCTCAGGGATGACTCCTGGCTCTGTGCTCAGGGCTGACTCCCGGCTCTGTGCTCAGGGCTAACTCCTGGCTCTCTGCTCAAAGCTCACACTAGTCTCTCTGCTCAGAACTCACTCCCGGCTCTGTGCTCAGGGCTCAATCCCGGCTCTGTGCTCAGGGATGACTCCAGGCTCTGTGCTCAGGGCTCAATCCCGGCTCTGTGCTCAGGGCTGACTCCTGGCTCTGGGCTCAGGCTTGACTCCCGGCTCTGTGCTCAGGGCTGACTCCCAGTTCTGTGCTCAGGGCTCACTCCCGGCTCTGTGCTCAGGGCTGACTCACGGCTCTGTGCTCGGGGCTGACTCCCATCATCTCATTGCTCAAGGCTGACTCCTGACTCTATGGTCAGTGCTGACTCCCAGCTCTGTGCTCAGAGCTGACTCCTGGCTCTGGGCTCAGGACTGACTCCCGCCTCTGTGCTCAAGGCTGACTCCTGGCTCTGGGCTCAGGACTCACACCTGGCTCTGGGTTCAGGGCTGACTCACGGCTCTGCACTCAGGAATCACTCCCAGCAGTGCTTGGGGGATCCTAGGGGAGGCCGGGACTCGAACCCGGGTCAGCCGTGTGCCAGGCCAACGCCCTCCGCGCTGGGCTATCATTCCAGGGCTGGTCCCTGGCCACTGGAACTGTGTCCCGGTGAGTGGACACAGGGCTGGGTGTCACTGTGACACCCAGGATCCATCGCTCCTTCTCCCTCTCTCTCCCTCCTCTCCTTCCTCAGTGCTCCCAAAACACGGGGCCTGTCTTCTGGGAGCTGAGGGCGGCCCAGGGCAGCTTGGCCACTGTCCTTCGACGGTCAGTGCCCCCCAGGACTCGATCCCGGGACCCCCTGGAGTCAGAGCGAGCTTCCCGCCCGCGCCAGCCTGCCCCGGGGACCGCCTCACCTCTGTAGATGCCGTTCCAGCCGCCCAGCTGGCCGCCCTCGCCCTGGGCCTCCAGGTGACCGCCGTGGTCGGACGTGAAGTAGACCAGGGTCCTGTTCCTCAGGCCGCGCTCGTCCAGGGCCCGCACGGCCTCGCCTGGGCACAAGGGCGGAGTTGAGGGGCGTGGACGGAGGAACCTCGGGGACTTGCAGACACACACACACACACAGACACACACACGCACATACACAACACTCACACAATACATGCACATGCACACACAGTCCCAAGAAGAGGGTCAAAGGACAGGGATCCTCCCTCCATCCCTCCCTCCTTCCTCATCCTCCCTCCCTCCCTTCCTCCCTTCCTCCCTTCCTACCCTCCCTCCCTCCTTCTTTCTCCTTCCTTCCCTCCCTTTCCTGTCCTCCCTCCCTCCCTACCTCCCTTTCCCTTCCTCCCTTTCTCCCTTCCTTCCTTCCTTCCTTCCTTCCTTCCTTCCTTCCATCCTTCCTCCCTCCCTCCCTCCCTCATTCTTCCCTCCCTCCCTCCTTCCTTCTCCCTCCTTCCTTCCTTCCCTCCCTCCGTCCCTCCTTCCTTCTCCCTCCTTCCTTTCTTCCCTCCCTCCCTCCTTCCTTCCTTCCCTCCCTCCCTCCTTCCCTCCCTCCCTTCCTTCCTTCCTTCCTTCCTTCCTTCCTTCCTTCCTTCCTTCTCTCTCCTTCCTTTTCTCTCCTTCCTCCTCCTCCCTCCCTTTCCTGTCCTTCCTTCCTTCCTTCCATCCTTCTCCCTCCCTCCCTCGTTCTTTCCTTCCTTTCTTCCTTCCTTCCTTCCTTCCCTCCCTCCCTCCTTCCTTCTCCCTCCTTCCTTCCCTCCCTCCCTCCCTCCTTCCTTCTCCCTCCCTCCCTCCCTTTCCCTTCCTTCCTTCCTCCCTTCCTCCCTTCCTTCTTCCCTCCCTCTGTACCTCCCTCCCTCCCTCTTCTCCCTTCCTCCCTCACTCTTTCTCTCCCTTCCTTCCTTCTTTCCCTACTCCCTTTCTTTTTCTTCTTTCCCTCCCTCCCTCCCTCCCTCCCTTCCTTCCTTCCTTCCTTCCATCCTTCCTTCCATCCATCCTTCCTTCCTTCCTTACATCCTTCCTTCCTTCCTTCCTTTCTTCCTTCCATCCTTCCTTCCCTAATTCCATCCCTCCTTATATCTTTTTTCCTCCCTCCCTTCCCTCCCTCCTTATTTCCTTCCTCCCTTATTTTCTTCCTTTCCCCCTCTCCTTTCATCTTTCCAACATTTATTAAATTTATTAAATCTATTAAATTTTTTAAATTTCTTTTTGAGTCACACCCGGCAATGCTCAGGGCTGACTCCTGGCTCTGCACTCAGGAATGACTCCTCGTGGCGGTGCTCGGGGGACCCTAGGGGATGCCGGGAATCGAACCCGGGTTGGCCACATGCCAGGCAAACGCCCCACCCTCTGTGCTATCCGTCCAGCCCCTACTATTATTATTATTAATTATTATTATCATTATTATTGTTATTATTAGTTGGTTGTTTGGGTCACACCCAGCGATGCTCAGGGCTGACTCCTGGCTCTGCACTCAGGAATGACTCTTCCTGGCGGTGCTCGGGGGACCCTAGGGGATGCTGGGAATCGAACCCGGCTCGGACGCGTGCCAGGCCAACGCCCTCCCTGATGGGCTCTCGCTCCAGCCCCTAAAGTCACCGTTTTTTGGCATATAGATATTCCAGTACCTATGTAGTCACCTACACAGAGATATTTCTGGCGCGTTTACAAGCACCAACATATACAAAAATAAATGGATTTTTTGGTGCATAGATAAAATGCCCTGCACGAAAGTATGAAAGTGCAGTAGTACCTACGTACCCACCTACATAAATACGGGAAGATATTTCTGGTGCCTTGTAGATCCACCTACAAATTATATATATATTTTAGTGCATATATATATAATTTCTATATATATTTATAAATTTATATATGTATATATAAATTTATATATATTTATATATTTATTTGCTCGAGCGGGCCCAGTAACGTCTCCATTGGAGACTTTGTTGTCACTGTGTCTGGCATATCGAATACTCTCGGTATATATAAATATATATATAGTGTCTTTAAACGTCTGTAAATATTCTAGTACATATATAAGCACCTTCATGAACATATAAAGATATTTCTGGTGCACATGGATGCGCTAATATCTACAAACATATTTTTGGTGTATATATTAAATCCTATAAGCAAATATATGTAAATATTTTAGTAGTATATATATATATGCACTTACATAAAAATATTTTGCAGCAATATCTGCAAAAAATATATATATATTTGTATACATATATTTTTTGGTGTACGCATAAAACGCTATAAATAAATGTATATATATATTGTAGTATGTATATACGCACCTACATAAAGATTTTTTTGGTGCATACAGATGCAACCGTATCTAGAAAAAATCTATATATATGTTTGGTGTCTATATGGAATGCTATGAACAAAAATATTGTAGTACATATATATATATGCATCTACATAAAGATATTTCTGCTGGATATAGATGCACCAATATCTAAAAACAGATCTATATTTATTTTGGTGTCTATATTAAATGCTATAAATAAATATATGGAAATATTTTAGTACATATATATATGCACTTAAATAAAAAGATTTCTGGTGCATATCGATGTACCAATATCTACAAACATAATATAGAAATGTTTGTATACATATATTTTTTGGCGTACACATAAAACGCTATAAAGAAATATATATTTACATATTTATAAATATATTATATATTTTTATATTATATATTATATATTATTATAAATATATTATATATTTATATATTATATATAAATATATATTATATATAATATATTATATATAATATTATATATAATATATAATATTATATATTATATATATAAATTTATATATATTTATATATACGCACCTACATAAAGATATTTCTGGTGCATATAGATGCAAACATGTCTACAAACATATAGATATATTTTGTGTATATATGGAATGCTATAAACAGATGCACATGAATATTTCAGTACATATATATGCACCTATGTAAAGATATCAAGATATTTGTGGTGTATATAGGTGTACCATTATCTACCAACATATATACATTTTTTTCCCTTTATTTTATTTTATTTTTTTTTTACAGTTGTAGATTTACAATTTTTTGTGCTTGGGTTTCAATTATACAATGATCAAGTACCCATCCCTCCACCAGTGCCCATTTTCCACCACCATGGATAATATCCCCCCACCCCCATTCCCCCATCCCCCCTGTCTCTGTGGCAGGGCAATCCCCTGTGTTCTCTCTCTCCTTTTGGGTACTGTGTTTTGCAAGAGAGTCATTGAGTGGCCATCATGTTCAGTCCATAGTCTACTTTCGACATGCATCTCCCCTCCTGGGAGGATCCTCCAAACACCCTTTATTTGGTGCTCCCTTCTCTATCTTAGCTGCCCTGTCCTCTAGGATACCCGGCTGGCCTCTAGGTTATGGAGTAATCATCCTGGTGCTGATCTCAGCTATTCTTGGGTATTAATCTCCATATATACATTTTTGTTATTTCTTTAACAGCAGGTAGGGCGTTCGCCTTACAAGCGGCCAACACGGCCGACCCGAGTTCGATTCCTCCACCCCTCTCGGAGAGCCCGGCAAGCTACCGAGAGTATTCGATATGCCAGACACAGTAACAACAAAGTCTCCAATGGAGACGTTACTGGGCCCGCTCGAGCAAATCGACGATCAACGGGAGGGACTTTACCTTTACCTTTACCTTCATATACATTTTTGCTGCGTATATAAAACGCCATCTAGAAATGCAGGTGAATATTTTAGTACATACGTACGCACCGTATAAAGATGTTTCTGGTGCATATAGATGCCACCAATATCTGCAAACATATATATATATTTATATTTTTTTGGTGTCTATATGAACTCTTATAAGCAAATATATGTAAATATTTTACTATATATATATATGCACTTACGTAAAAATATTTCTGATGCATGTAGATGCACTAATACCTACAACAAACATGCACATATCGTTGTATGCATATATTTTTTGGTGTACATATAAAATGCTATATATTTAAATATTTATATTTTAAATATAAATATAATATAAATATAAAATATATACATATGTTTGCTGTCTATATGAAATGCTATAAAAATATATATATGTGAATATTGTAGTACATATGGGCTGGAGCGATAGCACAGCGGGGAGGGCGTTTGCCTGGCACGCGGCCGACCCGGGTTCGATTCCCAGCATCCCATAGGGTCCCCTGAGCACCGCCAGGGGTGATTCCTGAGTGCATGAGCCAGGAGGAATCCCTGAGCATTGCCGGTTGTGACCGGAAAAGTCAAATAATAATAATAATAATAGTAATAAAATGCAGAGGTGTTTTTTTTTTAAAGTCTGCAAAGGGCTGGAGCGATAGCCCAGCGGGGAGGGCGTTCGCCTTGCATGCGGCCGACCCGGGTTCGATTCCCCGGCATCCCACAGGGTCCCCCGAGCACCGCCAGGAGGGATTCCTGAGTTCAGAGCCACAAGGAACCCCTGAGCATCGCCGGGTGGGACCCAAAAAGCCAAGAAAAAAATAAAAAAAATGAATGCGCCAATATTCACACACAGGCATAGATCTTGGTGCGTATGTGCCCTGCTACACACAAACGTCAGTAAATATTCCAGCACCGGGACATGCATCCACACAAACACAGAACACCACTTCTGGGGCCTGGCAGGACCGTCAGAGCCGGGGACGCACCCACTAGCCAGTCCATCTCCTCCACGTTGTCTCCGTACAGGCCGTGCTGGCTCCGTCCCCGAAACGCGGGCATGGTGGGCAGCGGGATATGGACATGCAGCAGGGATAGGAAGAGCAGGAACGGGCGCTGCTGGTTTCTGAAACGAGACACCCAGGCTCAGCGCTTCCACGACACGGTGTCCCCGAACACCAACCCCCGAGAGAGAGGACTGTTCAGAGAACGACTATTGGGGGGTGACACATTTTGGACATGAGGTCTAGAGTCTGAATCCCGGGGGCCCCTCGTGTGCCCCGCGTGGGTCTCGACAGCTTTGTTCTCAGTGCTGGCTGGTGACACGCCTATTTCTGCAGGAGTCTGCGGTGTGGCAACTCATGGGTAAGCGGAGTGGACCCGGGCGGGGCGGAATGTGTCAGCCGTAACGGCACGGCAGCGTGGAAACCCACCCACTCGCTCCAGCACCAAAAGAAAGGGGAAGAGGAAACTGCATGGTTTCTGGTGATAAGGGCATTTGGAGTTCACGTAACTGCAACTGAAATAGGAGTCACCGAGCTTCCTACACATCTCAATCTATGCAGTGACCTCTTGAAATGAAAGGCACTAGAACTCAATCTTTGGCCAATGCATTTCTGGCTCACCCATTGGGCTGGATTTGTTTGTTTTTTTTTTGGGGGGGGGTCACACCCGGCGATGCTCAGGGCTGACTCCTGGCAAGAAGCCAATTAAAAAAATTAAAATAAACAGAATGCACATCAGATAGGATACATTAAAGATGTGAATAACACACTTTATATTTCAAAAATAAAACAATACGTTATTTCTTAGCAAAACATCGATATTTATAAATAAAATATGATTATGAAAATTAAAATATTAATGGGGGCTGGAGCGATAGCCCAGCGGGGAGGGCATTGGCCTTGCACGCGGCCGACCCGGGTTCGATTCCCAGCATCCTCTAGGGTCCCCTGAGCACTGCCAGGAGTAATTTCTGAGCGCAGAGCCAGGAGGAACCCCTGAACATCGCCGGGTTTGGCCCAAAAAGCCAAAAAATAATAATAAAAATAAAAATAAAATAGAATATTGAAAATTTACCAAATATTAAAATATAAAACATTTTGTCACTTCTCAAATAAAACTGTATTTTATTTCTTGGCTAAAATACATTTACATTTATAAATAAAATCCTTTAGTGAAAACATTAATATCGCATTTAATATAGCACTGTGGCACCGTCCTCCCGTTGTTCATCGATTGGCTCGAGCGGGCACCAGGAACGTCTCACAGCAAATTGTGAGACTTGTTGTGACTGTGTTTGGCATCTCGGAGACGTCACGGGGAGCTGGCCAGGCTCTGCCGTGAGCATTTAATATAAATATATTTTATAGAGCAATCTTTAAATAAATATTTTATGAAATTTTATAAAAAATAAGAAATCTATAAAATATTAAAATATAAACATATGTGCATTGAAAATGCATATTTATAAACAGATATTTCCTCAAAATAATATATATTAGAAATTGGGCTGGAGCTATAGCCCAGCGGGGAGGGCGTTGGCCTGGCACGCGGCCGACCCGGGTTCGAGTCCAAGCAACCCATCGGGTCCCCTGAGCACCACCAGGAGTGATTCCTGAGTGCAGAGCCAAGAGTCAGCCCTGAGCATCGCCGTGTGTGACCCCCAGAAACCAAAATATACAACGTCCACCCCAAAGGATGTCCCCCCACGTCCAGCCGGGAGTGATCCCTGAGTGCAGAGCCGGGAGTCAACCCTGAGCACTGCCGAAGGGGCACCCCCAGGCCAAGAAAGACAAACCAATTGTGCACAGAGCAGAGAAGCGGCAGAGGGGTGTGTGCGCGGGGCCCCGGGGGAGGGGTCTGGGTACCGGTCAATAAAGGACACGGCCTCCCGGAGCATCCGTCCGGCCGCTCCATCTAGATCCATCGGCTGCTCAGTGACCTGGTGATCTCTCATGACGATGCAGTTCCAGCGACGTACGAACCCAAAGCTGGAGTACCAGGACACGAAGAACAGCAGCCCCAGGCCGGCCGCGGCGGCCACCAGCGTCCACGGCACGGGCAGCAGGCCGCTAGCCCTGCTGGCCGCCAGGGAGAACATGGCCAGGGCGACAGCCTGCGTGTAGAGCCACAGCTGGGCGCGAAACCTGGCGTCCACCTCGGGGGGCCGGGCAGGGTGACAGTCGTTGACCAGCGTGAAGGGCATGCCGTAGAAGTAGTCGAACCCGTGTCGGAGCGGGTGGTGGCAGTGGTCATCCCGCCGGGCGCAGTTGAGGCCCTGGTGCCATTTCCCTGCAAATGGAAGTGGATGCGGCATAAGAGTCAGCCCGCCGGACACAGTGCCTCAAGGAGCACTTCTGTGAGAGATAGAAGCGAGTCCCGTGGATTATCGAGGGATCCAAGATGCGGAGTGTCGGGCATTCCGGTGCCTGTCCTTTCCCCCAGCGTCCACTGACCTCCGTCCATGTCCTCGGTTCCCCTGCAATCCCCCAGGCCAGCCTCCAGGGCAGACACGTTATTTCCCGGCGTGTGGCATCGTTGGTTCACGGGTTAGCGGCTGAGATGGTCTCACGCTAAACACAAGAGCTTTGAGCCTTGCATCCCCCTGCAAGTGACCACTGCCCGCCACCATTTTCGTAGGACTCTCTTGCCTGTTATTATTATTGTTATTATTATTACTATTGTTGTTGTTATTATTGTAGCACTGCAGTGTACCACTCACTGTCCTCCCGTGGTTCATCGATTTGCTTGAGCGGGCACCAGTCACGTCTCCATGGTGAGACTCGTGACTGAGTTTGGCATCTCAGAGACGCCACGGGGAGCTTGCCAGGCTCTGCTGGGCAGACGGGCGGGATCCTCTCGGAGAGAGACGGGCGGAGGAATCGAACCCGGGTCGGCCGGGTGCCAGGCCAACGCCCTCCCCACTGTGCTCCAGCCCATAGAGATCAATATCAATGAATATTTGCTAGTCATTAACTTCCATATCATCAGTTAATATAGAATATGATGAATAGAATCAACACAATTGTAATCAATACAATCTAGTTAACATTAGTGTGTCAAATAATTAATATAATTGATTAATAATATTAATCAAGGGTGATCAATATCATTGTAAATATCAAAATTGCACTGTGTCACTGTCCTCCCGTGGTTCATCGATCGGCTCGAGCGGGCACCAGGCACGTCTCCCTGGTGAGACTTGTTGTCACTGTGTTTGGCATCGCGTAGACGCCACGGGGAGCTGGCCAGGCTCTGCCGTGTGGGCGGGATCCTCTCGGGAGCTGACCGGGCTCTCCGAGAGGGACAGAGGAACTGAACCCGGGTCGGCCACGTGCCAGGCAAACTCCCTACCCACTATGCTCCAGCCCGTATATATCAATATCAATGAATATTTGCTATTCCTTAACTTCATATCACTGATTAGTATAGAATATGATTAATAGAATCAACACTATTGTAATTTAATAGAATATAGTTAACATTAATGTATCAAATAATCAATAATATTAATCGAGAGTGATTAATATCATTATAAATATCAAAATTGCACTGTGTCACTGTCTTCCCGTGGTTCATCGATCGGCTCGAGTGGGCACCAGGCACGTCTCCCTGGTGAGACTTGTTGTCACTGTGTTTGGCATCGCGTAGACGCCACGGGGAGCTGGCCAGGCTCTGCTGTGTGGGCGGGATCCTCTCGGGAGCTGGCCGGGCTCTCCGAGAGGGGCGGAGGAATCGAACCCGGGTCGGCCACGTACAAGGCAAATGCCCTACCCACTGTGCTATCACACCAGCAATACAATAATAATATTATTATTATAACATCATTTATAATTTTATAAAATAAAATTAAAGAAAAGGAAAAGGGGGGTTGGAGCGATACTATTGCCTTGCACGCTGCCGACCCGGGTTCGATTCCCAGCATCCCATATGGTCCCCTGAGCACTGCAGGAGTGATTCCTCAGTGCAGAGCCAGGAGGAACCCCTGAGCATCGCCGGGTGTGACCCAAAAAAAGCAACAAGAGACAAAGAAAAGAAAAAGGAAAATTAAGTGGAAGGAAGGTCACACTGGTGCTGGGCTTGGAGCTGGAACATTGGAAAACTGTCACTGGGGCTGGGGTGATAGCACAGCGGGTAGGGCGTTTGCCTTGCACGCTGCCGATCCGGGTCATCCCGGGTTCGATTCCCAGCATCCCATTTGGTCCCCGGAGCACCGCCAGGGTAATTCCTGAGTGCAGAGCCAGGAGTCAGCCCTGAGCATCGCCAGGCGTGACCCAAAAAGCCAAAAAAAATAAATAAGAAAAAAACCTGTAACTGCTGTATGACGAACAACTTTATACATCACCTTGTTGAAATGCAGTATCTTATTTACCAAAAAAAAAAAAAAAAACAAATTAAAGAGATGGAGGACAGAATGAGAATGGAAAACTGGTGGAATAAGAAATCATATAGAAATGGAGGAGAAAAGGGATGATGTAATAGGAATTCACGAAGAAAGACATGTAATAAAACAAGTAGACAAGGGAATAAGCTAAGAATTATACACTCGGAACAAAATAAAATAAAAAAATAAAATAAAACCTGGGCACGGGAATATAAATTGATGTACAGAGAAATATCATAGAAATTTGAAAAGTGAGGCACACAAGAGAAACTCGTGAACAAAAATATCTGAATTGTGCACGAGGAAAGGGAAATGAATGAACAAAGGAATATCATATAAATTGATGGATATTATGAGGGATTACAGAGGAAGAGAGTAGAAATTATGGACAAGGGAATATCCTAGAAATTGATGGATAGAGGAAGATGATATAATTTAAGGAAAAGGAACAGAATAGAAATTGATGGGCAGAGGAATAGTATACAATCCTGAAAAAGCGAGAAATGCCATAGAAATTGATAGACCCTGGAATATTATAAAAATGATGAACAGGGGACTAGAACTTGTTGGACAGCGGAATATAATAGAAATTTATATTAGATATAATAGAAATTTCAAAAAGCAAGGAATATCACAGAGACTATGGCATCGAATGGAAATGATATATAATAAAAAAAGTGAGGAATATGATAAAAATTATGGACTGTCGTAGAAACCATAGAATAAACTGTGAGGAACAGCAGAGAAACTACGGAATAGAATCAAAACTGTATCATAAAGAAAAAGTGAATATTAGCAGAGAAACTATGGAGTATAATAGAAACTATATCATAGAGAAAAAAAGTGAGGATTAGAGAGAAACTCCTGAAGATAACAGAAACTATATAATAAATAAAAATGACAACTGAGGAATAGCAGAGAAACTAGGGAATATCATAGAAACCATACCGTAAAGAAAAAGTGAGAATTAGCAGAGTATCTATTGAATCTAGTAGGAACTAAATCATAAATAAAAATAATAAAAAGTCAGGAAGATCAGAGAAACTACGGAATATAATAGAAACCGTATCGTAAAGAAAAAGTGAGAATTAGCAGATTATCTATTGAACCTAGTAGAAATTGAATCATAAATAAAAATGAAAATGGAGGAAGAGCAGAGAAACTATGGAATATACTAGAAAGTCCGTAATAAGGAAAAATGGAAAGTGAGGAACAGCAGAGAAACTGAAATACAGTAGAAAACATATCATAAAGGAAAATTGAGGAATAGAAGAGAAAACCAGGAAATATAACAGAAACC